TACAGTGACTATGTTTTTTTTTAATTATTATTAAATGTTTTTATTTTGGATTGAGTGAAAGTTTACAGGGCACACCATCAGCTTCACATTCAACCATTCATATAGCTTGTTTCATTACATTGATTATTATCCCCTCCATATATCATCAGTTAACAGTGTTTCTCTCTATCCTCTTTAGCTTTTTTTTTTTTTTGGGGGGGGTGGGGGGACTATGTTTTTTTTCCATCTTCTTTTGATGCTTTCTGCATCCTTCAATATTTTGCCTGTGAAATCCTTCAATATTGCAAGTTGAGGTTTGAATTTTTAATTATGTTCTCTCAGTTTGAGAAGTGTTGAGCATGCTCTTCCCTCTTGGTTTTCCAACTCCAGGTCTTTGCGTATTTCATTGTAATATCTGACTTTTGTCTTCTCAAACTGCCCTTTAAATTATCCTGTTCAATTCTTTCACCTCCTCATTTTTCTATTTGCTTTAGCCTCTCTCTGCTGGAGGGCAAGTTTTAGAGTCTCTGCTGACATCCATTTTGGTCTTTTCTTTCTTCCTCGTCTTAAAGACCTTTTGCTTTCTTCCTGTATGATGTTCTTGATGTCATCCCACAGCTCTTCTGGCTTTTGGTCATTAGTGTCTAATACATCAAATCTGTTCTTGAGATGATCTCTAAATTCAGGTGTGATATGGTCAAGATGATATTTTAGCTCTTGTGGACTTGTTTCAATTTTCTTCAGCTTCAGCCTGAACTTGCATTTGAGCAATTGATGGTGTTTCACTCTGTCACTGGCCTGGTTTTGGTGAATGATATGGACCTTTTCCACCATCTTTTTCCACAGATGTATTCAATTTGATTTCTGTTGTCCATCTGGTGAGGCCCATATGATACTCGTCCTTTATGTTGTTTAAAAAGGTATTTGTAATGAAAGTCATTGGTCTTGTAAAATTCTATCATGCAATCTCCAGCATCATTTCTATCACCAAGACCCTATTTTCCAACTACTGATCCTTCCTCTGTTTCCAAACTTTGCATTCCAATCACCGGTAATGATCAATACATCTTGATTGTATGCTTTAACAACTTCAGACTGGAGTAGTTGGTAGAATTCAGTTTCATCATCACTGGCTTTAGTGGTTGGCACATAAATTCGAGGTACAGTGGCAGTAACTGGGCTTCCTTGAAGGCATATGTTTGAGAGTTATTAAAGTGCATTAACTCCAAAGGCCCCATCAAAATAGTGACTTCAGAGTGGCTTTTCTGGGTTAGTTAAAATTCAAGTCAGAGAGAGGTCAGTTCGGAAGGTAAAGGAGTCTGTTTTTACTGATCCTGAAGCAACCTTGATAAATGTTCTTGAAGGACATAGGATGATGTTGGTGGTTTATCAGAGAGATTTAATGAAAACGGAAAATGGCATTGGTGAGAAAAAGGCCCGGAAACGTGTGCGGCGGAATTTTCCCATCACAATTCACCTGCTCACTTAGGGTAGCAAGGGCTGTCCTGGGAGAATTTCGCTGAGAAACTTAACCCCCTCCAGCCTTCAATCCTGAACTTGCTCCTTCAGACTTCTTTATGCTCCCCAAACTCAAAGAACATCAAAGGGAAACATGATTTGAGCTCCATGGGACTGCCAAAACAACTGTTCTCAGGTGGTGTGAATGGATGAGCGTAGACTTCTTCGGGGAAAGTTCAGAGAGACGGAAACAGGGTCTTCAGAAGCATGTAGACCCATGTGGAGGATGTGCTGAGACCCATTAACATCACATCTTGAATTGTTTAATAAAAGTTTTTGAGTTTGGGGCTCTGCTTTCTGACACACCCTTGTACATGTAGAAACATGAGCCAACTGTGTGGCACTGTAAGATAAGCACTGGACTTCTAACCATTCCAACTTGCCAGCCACTCCTAGGAAACCCTCTACAGGGCTGCTATGAGTAAGAACAGATTCAACAGCACACAACCACCATGTGTGAACTGTGTGCATTTTCAACACCTGCCACTTTTCATTTTCACCAGGGAGGAAACCTCATGACACAAGTGCTGTCAGTTTTGTGAATGCTGAAACTACACAGACCTGTCCCAAGACTCAGGTGTCTTAACCGTCTAGAAAACACACGAAGGGTTCCCCAGACACGATGCCCAGTGGAGACCTCCCGGTCGCCAGGGGGCAGGGTTTGCAGTTCACCTGACGTTCACATGGGAAAGCAAACTGGTGAGTTCGCGTCGATCCCTGTGAGTGCACAGCATGAAGCCTCAGGTGGACTGGAGTGACTGCTCCTTACCATCAGCAGGAACAATGGAAACCCACCTGAGGGCCCCTATTAGATATTTTTCTAGGTTGTAAGTAGTTGTAATCCCTGATTAGTACAGTGAACCCACGTGACTAATAAAAAGGTTGGCAGTTTGAATTCACCCAGATGTCTCAGTAGAATGGCATGCTGATCAATTTCCAAAAAAATTACCCACTGAAGGCCCTGTGATGCCCAGTTCTAGTATGACACATGTGAGGTTACCTGGAGTTGGAAATGGCTTGATGACAACTGGTTTGGCTAATGTATAACCACTCCTGCCCATGGACTTGCTCTAGTTAGGCCTTCTGTGCAGAGAGGAAGGATCCCAGCCTCAGATGTGATCGTCTGAGCAAGGGTGCCGTGAAACCCACGAGAGTGAGGAACACAGGAACGTGGTGGAGACAAAGCTGTAATTTGAACGGGGAACGAGACTGAGGGGGTGGTGGTGCTTGGGAATGTTTCCTGTGTCCGTCTGTGACAAAATTCTCACTGGTGTGGCTTTTCAGGGACCCAAATGCAATGATTTCTGAGACATCATAAACTCGGACAATGCTGTTTCTCCAAAATTTTTATTTGAATTTAACTTACAGGGCCAGCCAGATTTTTTCTGAGACGAAATTCACTTTTCTTCAGGAACTGGGATGCCTTTGTGGCATTGTTACAGCTGTATACATCTCCACAGTAAGGAACTGCTTTCTATCACATGACACCTGGGGCACCGGAAAGAACCCACGCACAGTACGAGGGGCTCAGGACAGGGCTGCATGAAACGAGCCTGGCCTCAGGCACAGCCTTTGCCCCCCCACTGTCTCCCATGTAAGAGGCTCCCGTGCCAGGAGGAAGACCTGTTGCTGCGGCTGGGCATGGAAGCAGTTCTTCCTCTTCACGTCATGACACAGGAACGGCGCTCGGTCCCACCAACTAGAACGGGACCCCCACGGCCAACCCCGCCTTTCTCAACAACTCAGTTCTTTTCTTCTAAGAGACTCTTAACCTGCTTTCTCTACTAGAAAAGCATGAACTACTTTACACAGATTCTGGGAAAGGCGGCCTCAGGAAAACCAGCAACATTGCGGACCCTTGTTTCAATGACGCGGGACAGAATACACCTGCACATTTTCTGGAACCACTGTTTTAACTGATGTCCCTGGAGGGTGGTTTTAGAGCCTGCTGAAACATCACCTGGAAGTCTCATTTTACTCGAGGGCCGATCGTTTAGTTAATAAGAATAATTACAGGTATTTCTTCATCAGCTTATAGCCATGCTGAATTTGGACTGGCAAACTTGGATTGGTTAAGTTGTTGGCTGTGGTCTTAGCTATTCTAACACCTTCTTCACACAAGGGTTTCCAGAAGACACTGTTCTGCCAGACTCACAGCACCAACAGCAACAATAACAACAAAGTGGTGCAAAATCAGTTACTTTATAAATACTGATAATTTGCCTCATTAAGGAGCAGGACATTAAAAAAAAACAAAAAGAAAAAGAAATTTCCCCCAGGGCCCCTGTGACGGGGAATGCTGCTTCTTTGTTCCACAATGGACTGCACCGGACCAGGCCATCTGAGACAAGATGCTCTACAGAAGCCCCCCAAGACTCAGCAGGGGTTCAGCATCGTGTGTCTCACGCAGCAGCGATCTGGGGAACTCGGGACTCCTTTGAGATGAATGAAGCCAACATTCTGCAGGAGGGTAGAGCGCTGGGGCCTTGGGGCTGCTCAGCCTGCTAATGGGCCCGAGGAGAGAACGGAATACCAAGGTTTGGGTTCTATTTCTGTTGTTGTTGTTTTTTTAATGCTGTGATCCTTCAATGTTAAATCAGCATTCTTGTGTGATCTCAAGTATTTCAATTACATATGAGCATTCGTTTTTGTTTTGTTGCAGAAACTTGGTATTAGGTAATCGTCACATACTAATACATAACATTCCTCTGCCGCACAGATGCAGTCATCACCGGAAGGAGCATCCTCCGAGGTATGTACAAGAGAGACCTGCAGGCATCGGGAAACAGAAGGCGAGGTGGCACTGCTTCTAGTGCTACTGCTTAAAACCCCTTCAGAAAGTAACATGAGCAAAGACGCGCCAACACAGCCAACTTAACAAGCCTTGAGAAAAATCAAATGTCAAAAATAAATGGAAAAAAAAAAAATCTAGAAAGCCATGAAAAGCATATATACAGTTTCCTTACGCCCTCAGGAAGCTTCACACTTTTGAGAAGTTGCTAAGTTTCAGTTATCAGTTTATTTGCTATGGCAACTCTATCCGGCCCCCCGAAAGCTCCCATCCTGGATCCAGCATCCCCAGCCCGATACCCGATAAAGCCCTGGTCCATCTTTCCCGCTGAAGGCAGACCATCTGAGCGAGAATGCCAGGCGTGTGCCGGCCACACTGAACTCGGAGCCCTCTCCAGATCAACGTGGACACGCAGGCTCAGTTCCTCCAGCGACGCCCTCTCCTCCCTAAACCACACTAGCATCTCTACGTCTGCCCTCACCAACCTAGCCCTCCTACAGCAAACAGAGTCCTCAGATTCGGAAATGACACAAAATCAGGGAAAAGTCCACATGTGCTCTAGTGTGCAAGAAAGCAGCAGCTACGGTCTCCAACTTGGACTAAAAACGAAATAAAAATAAAAAGGTGAAACAGAAAACCGTTCAGCTAACAGGCAGACGAGCAGTGCTGCTCCTCAGAAATCATCGGTAAGAGTGCCTGACGCGGAGGAGCTAACAGCAAATGCGGAATTGGGACTTAATGATTGGTAGACGTTTATTGGATATTAGGCTTCCTGCTGGGTGGGTCTCTTCAAATCCCTGATCTGTTTAACTAAATAGGTCTTCTCATCATTGAATTGTTCATCCTCGGTCCGGTCATTCTGGAACTTACTGAGGAATTCTATGAGTTTGGTTTGGTTCTTCAGGAGGATGTCTAAGATGGGCTGTGTCTTGTTGGGATTGGCCACAAACACCTGCACAGAAAGGAAACCACATCAGTGCACAGTGAGGGAGCACGGCCCCGAGGCTCTGGGCCATGCTTAGTGGGGCACACAAGGGACCCCGGCGCAGCAGATGTCAAGAGACTTGGGCTTTTACCATTTAGAAATCAGATGAACGACATGTTTTAGCATCCCCGAAACACCATCATTAACGATTTGACTTTAGAATAACGTGGGGAGAATGATTTCAGGGCACACGAGCTTAGACTGGAGTTTAAAAACAGAAACTCGTGGAAAGCATTAAGAAGTGGCTTGTCTTTCATCCTGTGGTAAGTAATTGCTTATGCCAAAGAGCAAGAAGGTGAGACCTGGCTTCACATCCTGAGGACACACTGTCAGGAAGGAGCAGCCTCTGGAAAAGGACCTCATGTTCAGCACAGTGGAGGGTGAGTTCAAAAGAGGAAGACCCTCAGTGGGATGGGCTGACCCAGGGCTGCAACAACAACATCAAACGCAGTGACCACTGGGAGGATGGTGCAGGATTGGGCAGCGTTTCTACCTGTTGTAACGTGATCACTGTGGGTCAGAAAGATCTCGAAAACACCTGATGACAACTTAACACGCCCAAGAGAAAAGAGAGCTCTCTATATAAACGGGTACCCCCAGTTTCCTTTGGGAAAGTCTTCCTGTTGGCATGTTGTACCACACGATATGAAAAAGGAACAGAATTGAATTTCTGAATGATCAAATGGGGTTCACAGAATGTCAGTAACGTGTAAATGAGGTGACAGGAACAGTCTGGAGGAATGTTTCTACCTTAAACACATGAAAGGCCTCAAACTGGATGTTACGGCTTTTGTCTCGGAGAAGGTTCATCATTAACTTGAGGTTCTCAGGTTTGCTGATGTACTTTGTCATAATTGTGAAGTTGTGCCGATCTAACAGCAGTTCACCAAGAAGCTGAGAAGACAATAAACAGTCAACTTTAACACTCACTGTCATTACAATGGGAAGAAAAACCAGTTTAAAAAGGAACCCATTTTAGAACCATCACTGGTAAACACAGGATGTTAATAAGCACTAACAAATGGAGCTCTGGTAGGGTAGTGGTCACGAGTTGGGCTGCTCACCTCAAGGTCAGCAGTTCGAAACTACCAGCTGCCCCGTGGGAGAAAGATGAGGCTTTCAGCTCCCGTGAAGATTTACAGACTCGGAAACCCTATGCAGGGTCGCGGCAAATCGAAACTGACTCCACGGCACATAACCACCACCACAGTCCATATAAGGAGTCCTGGTGTGGCGCTGAGATAATGCGCTGGACTTCAAAGTTAGTTTGAACTGCAAGGTCAGTGGCTGAAGCTCACCAGCTATTCCTTGGAGACCACATACAGGGTCGCTACGGGTCAGAACAACAACAGATGCAGGAACTAAACTGAACTATGACCGAAAAGCTATCGAGTCTGACTCACGTACCACTTGTCCTTTAGGGGTTGACTGCTGACAGGAAGCCCGACAACGCTTCCTGAGGAGGATCACTAAGGGGCATCTGAGGTAGTTAGCTGCTCTGCAAATGTGCACTGGGACTACCTCTAGATCTAGACCTCAGGAAACTGGTACCTCACACAGCAACCACAGCACAGAACACCGCCGCTATCCTCAGGCCGCGCTGCTCAACTGCTCTGCAGGAATGTGAACAGCGGCCTCCGGCTTCCCACCTGCCTTGGGGATTCGGATGGGCCAAGAGGTGCTCCCTAAAGCCTTAGCCAAGCAGCCCAGGGCTCCAGAGTCTGGTCAAAGGCTATTTGCCAATTAAACAGCATTTCCTGTGATGAGGTAGGGGCCTGGGATACCAGGGAAGAACCCCTCACCCCAACTATCTATGACCCATATCAGCAGAACCTCCTCTTCCTAATTACAAAGAAAAGGAAACCATGTAAAATTAACACATTGCCTCACCTTGAGTGACTGTCTTTTTGTCACATAATTTTCTGAATGAAGTAGCTTCTCATATTCACTGAAGAACTGAGAGACAAGAAAACACACACACATTAGGTTCTGTAGAAAAAGACAGGCAGTGTCACATCACAATGCTTGAACAGGAGCTCCTGACAACTGGAGGCCAACAGCACCCAAGCTTCCCTGTCCCCGGTGTCTGCCTGCTTCTAATGGGCTCTACAGAATCCCCTGGGGACACCTCAGAGCACCCCGTCTTAGTTACCCTGCTTCTGCTCTAGCAAGGCCCACACACAGTTCACCCCTGGTTCTCTCCTGTCGTCCCAAACTCCAAGTGTACCAAAGATAACTGTCCCCACCCTGAACTGCTATCAGTTCTCATTTCCTGGGGTTCAAGGAGAAGACTTGTCGTTTTTACAGATGAAAATTCCACAGTTTAAAGCACACCCATGAGGAGACAAGTGACCTGTTCTTTCAATGTGTGAAATAGGGAGAAAAGAGTTAAAGGTATGAGTCAGGGTGAAGAACCCAGGCTCTGTGTTAGATGCGGCGTCTTAGAGAATGTAGGACTGAGGCTCCCACTGGCAGGATGGGAGGGAGCTGGCTGAGAAGCAGGGAGGAGAAAAGATATTCCAGGTGCATAAAAGGAAAGGCATGGTCTGAGGGCAGGCCTTGAGAACGAGAAACGGTGTGGACCATAAAACCCACCAGTGCCTGCCAGACTTACAAATGGTCCCTGACAAGGACAATGTCAACGGAAGAGGCCAGGCTGAAGAACGGGCAGCGAGGGGCACACAAGGAGCCAAGGCTATTCAGAAGGTGGACTGGCACGCCGGAAACCCCAGGCCATGTGTCTACGCTACCAGCAATCCCAGCCTCTAGGCCCTCTTCAGCCTTTCGTCTGTGGTTGAGAGCAGTCAGCCAACTCGAGCCTTAGCCAAATCCAGTCTGCTGTCTGGCTTTGTAAATAAAGTTTTATTGGGACTCAGCCACATGGATCTATTTATGGATTGCCTATGGTTACTTCTGATTAAACCAGTTGACTGACCATGTGGATTGCGAAGCCTCGACTATTTACAATCTGGCTGTTTCTTCGGCTCATCTGTAGGCAGATGTGGGGTGGCCAACAAGTCCGTCAGATTTCTCATGCTTCAGAACTGGGTGCTACGAGCATCATCTCAAATGACCATCAAACCGGTCATCAAAACAGCTGGTTGTGAATATGACCCAGAATATTTACACCTCAAGGTCTTGGCAGAAAAGGCAACTTTCTGTTGCACAATTCTTAGGCCCAAAATCCCTGTCCCAGAGCACTGCCTGGAGAGGGGGCTCACACCCTGGTGGTCCTGAAAGAGGACCAGAGAATGAGGTCAGGCAGCCTGAAGTCTGTGTGGCTCCTCAAAGACATCCTCTTAAGGGAGTACACAGCTTGCCACCAGGAGAAACTTGTTTCTTTTAAGGCTTTACTTCTTTTGAGCAACTTTATAGATACTGTGACCTTTTCACTGATTTTGTTTCCCTCTGTTTTGACTATGAGAAAGCTCAGAGCTCTCATAAACAACTGCCTCCTTGGCCATGAGACCCGAAGAACCGGATGGCACCTGGTTCCCATTACTGGACATTTTGATCAAAGATTCTACAAAACAACCCAGGTCAAAAGGAAGAAGCTGCAGAAGAGAATTTCAAATTCTCGTGGAATCTAAAAAATCCCCTAAAGCTTAACTAGTAAAGAACCTGTGCCTTAGGACTCTGCTCCCTGCGGACAGATGGACAGATGGACAGCAGAGGGAGTCCAGGGGCGTCAGCGCATGTTAACGGGAGAAGACGACCTGAGAAGGAGAAGGGCGGAGGGAGTGTCCTCGCATCCCGGGCTGCACTCGCACCAACTGCTGAACTGGGGCAAGTTTTGCTGTGTATATTTCAACAGCAACAAAATGAAATTTTAAGGAGAAAAAAAAAGGTAATTGCAGAGCCAACAAGTACAGGATTTGAGAGGATAAACTCAAGGCGTGTTTACCTTCTGTGGCAACCTCACCCTCGGCTTTATTTAAATTAGTAGGGTGCTCCCACTTTTCTCATCTCTCCCCCAGGGTCTGTGGGCACCCACACACTGCTGGTAGATGCCCCAAGTCCTCTCCCCTCCACACTGTCTATCACCAACTAGTGAATGGTGTGGCAGAGAGCAGGGAGAAAAGCAGTTTACAGCGAAACAAAGCAGATTCTAGTGTTTGCCGTCACTTTTGGGGGAAATTAGCTGGTATTTTTGGTGTGACTTAAATGAAGGTATAATTAAATCTGAAAACAACGTGGCAACACCTAACGTTTTTGAAATGCTTACGGTGTTCCACATAAGACACCCATGCCGCACACCTTCATGGAATCCTCACAACACCTAATGTTTATGAAATGCTTACGGTGTTCCACATAAGACACCCATGTCACACACCTTCACGGAATGCTCACAACAGGGCTAGTACGCTATGCGGCTCCTTTTAGATCTGAAAGGTGCCCAAGTTATGCTGCAGGTTAAGCACTGGGCTTTGATCTGTAAGGTTGGCAGTTCAAACCCACAAGCTGCTCCACAGGAGAAAGACGGGGCTGTCTGCTCTTGGAGAGATGAGCAGTCTCTGAAACCCGGTACTGATCACTGAGTCAGAATGGGCCTGTTGGCACTGGCTCTGGTTTGCTGCCACTTTAAACCAACAAACATACAAAAGGACATGCATTCATGTCCAATTGCACGTGTGCAAATGAAACATGTGCCCAACAGCCATTTTGGCAGTTTAAGATAATTTACGTGAGACTTACTATGTGCTCCGCATCGTGTGATGAAGTCACTGGGAACAGGTGGGAAAACCGGGAAAAAGGAACACAAAAGGATTGCAAAGCTCAGATTTGTCTCCAGGAATCTTACTCATTTCCATGAACAGCAAACTGAGACGTGAAGTGTTTATTAGTGACACTTAGGATTTTGCAAATGTAAACAACGAGGGGAAGAATTCAAACCTAAGCCAAATTTCTGGGGGACAGAGAAGGCTTTAAGTGGGATAAGCAGTAGACTGCGAACTGCAAGGCTGGCAGTTTGACCCCATCGGCTGCTCCTCAGAAACCCTCTACAGGGCCGTCATGAGTCGGAACCTACTGGACAGTCTCTCACAGTGCCCATCACAGCCTGCCCGACTTGGCCGTGAGCTGCCATGGCCCCGACAGCTCTGCCGGGTAGACTCAAGGGGACCTGCGCCTCGTCCCACAGGGTCACCATCACTGGAAGTCCACTGGGGAGTCAACACTGGACGGGGCCCTACTGTGAGCTAGTCCAACCCCTCACCTTACAGGTATTAGTGGCAGAGCAGGAGTGGAACCCAGGTCCCGTCTCCTCTCATCTAGAGCACTGGTCAGCTCACCAGCCACTGCCTCTTTCTTTCCTCCTTCTGCAAGCAGCAGGAATGTCAAAAGAAGTGTCCTTTGATTTTACTGTACCACCTGTCAGCACCCAGGCCTATTGTGCACAGTCAGAAAAGGTGCCGAGGGCGGTGTGTTGACCAATCCCATGCCTGCCCGACACAGGCTTTAGCACCCAGAAGCAACATTCCGGCTGTGAGGACGGGACCACATATACTCACTCTGTCATAATGCTGCTCCAGGAATTCTGCACTCAGCAACTTGTGCCTCGTAAGTAAGTCCTAGAACAGGAAACAGTTTTACAGTTATTGTCAAGTTGGTTTTTTAAAGAGAGAATTCTAAAATATTCCAAGCCATTCTATCCGATAAAAACTGTTGTTAGCATGGCTGTACTTAAAGGCATGTGAGAACGAATAAGTTTACTCAAAATGTTGATTCTCTGTGAAGAACGAACAATTTGAAATTTTAATGCTATCTGATGAGCAGCAGGTGCACAGCTCATAGAGGTGAAAATGAAAAACAGAACAAAGCAAAGCCCCTCCATCCCAGACACCTCAGAGGCGCATGAAGGCTTACAGAGAAATGAAAACACATGGCTGGGTAAAAAACGGAACAGGGAAGACGGTGTCATGGCTTTAGGCGGAAAGAGAAATTTTCTTCTATTAGAAAAAGTACTGGAGGTTCCATTCTCTTCTTCCTAAATAAAGCTATAATCACTAAACAACACTTTCCTCAGATGTAAAGTAGTTTCTAGAAGCCCCATCATATCATAAACATTAGCTTTTAAGTGGGAAGAACGCTGCGGCACAAATTCACTGTTTTACTTTGCACATGAACAGACATACCTGAGGTCTTATCTACTGCTTCTGACCCCCGTTTGACTGGTTTGGGACCTAAGTCAGCAGGGAGCTCGCACACCTAATTCTGCTTCCCTGTGAGGCCCAGGTACCCAGGTGTCCCTCACCTGAGAGGTACAGACTTGCCCTGTCATAAAACTGAGTCCTCACAAGCAGAGTCACCATGAGTCATTGGGACAGTGCTCAGGGTCTCTGAGCAGGACACCTCCAGGTTACACTAGACGCCGACATTACAGTTCTAGTGCTCCATACTTATTTATATTTATGAAATTGACATACACCAATTTATATACATACAACTGCCATACATCAACAGGTACTTTATAAAGAGGCCAAATAAGCATACAAGGGCTTACTGCCATGGTAAAAAAAAAAAAAAAAAAATTCATAAGAGAACTGTTTCAAAAAGTTCATGGAAAACTGGAATTCACAATACGGGACTGTCCCCATGAACGCTTAGTAGCTCCCTTGTACTTAAACTAGAACATCGGAGGTCAGGTGTATGTGGTGGGGGCGGAGACATAGACGCCTCGGAACAGCACAGCTGGGTCTGCCCCCACTGCAGCAGATGACCTCTGGCATGGGCAAGAGATGGCAGAGGTGGGCTAACCGTGCCCCCACGGTCACAATGTGAACATTTTATAAACAGAAGCCAACTCATCCAACAGGGTCTGACCCAAAGACAGTCCTGCCCTGTGTTGCTGCTCACTTCCTGTACATGCACCTGAATCCTGTACTTAACAGGCACTTGAACGGAGTTTAAAGTTTCGTTTTGACCAGACAGGATTTCTGACGCGTACCCACTTTCGGGTGTGAGTGCCATGTGAAGTAAAGCTGAGTCCTACATATAGGCCGGCGCTATCTTCTCTCTGCCCACGAGGGGGCAGCGGTGTGTAGGTGAGGAGAGCAGAGGCCAGGAAGCAGGACTGAGTCTACTTAGGTGGCTCTCTTGAACCTTACCTTGAATGTGGCAAATGCATCTGAGGCTATGTCAAACGTTGACATTTCCACATATCTGAAGAAATCATAAAACTGTTCTGACCACAAAATGATTTTTGCAAGCGGTTCATGTCGTATGCATTCTCTTAACATGATTCCACAATTTAGAGCGATTTCTGGCGATTCATACCTGCAGAGACAAAGCCGGCATGACAGACCTTTATAACTGGAAGTGTGACAAGTGTCCTGGTTAAACACACGCATATTAGTTGGTGGTGACAGACTCGTCCCAAATGTCAGGGACAGCTGTGAGGGTGCCAGCCCCAGGCGCAGCCAGCTCACTCTTTAAGCTAAGAGAGCTGAGAAGAAACCTGGAGTCAGCCCACATCACGGTGAGCTGAGTTGTGCTCTCAATCAGCTGAAATCAAATTAGAAGCCAAACCAGCTTTGTTCTAAATTCTAAGTGTTTAAAAACAGTTAGCCGGTTAAAAATACAGCATGTGTCCTGTACTTTGCTTTAACAACCACGATGGTCCTTTTAAGACTCTCAGCAGCACGACGTTGCTAGCTATATTATTTTACTTTACAAATAACTGAATGTGGTTTGTAGGTACTTTATGGGCTGTGGCTCTCTGCCTCCTTTGAGCTACCCACCCCGAATCTTCCCACTTCAGCATCACCAGGCAACCTTGCAGGCTTCTCTAAACTGTCTCTCTCCATCCACATCCACAACCCTGCAATGGCGTCCTGGTCAGTGGCTTTGTTCAAACTCGAAATTAACCCTTTTGTGATCCGTGGAAATATAGCGCCCACCTACACTTTCCACCTCTGGGTGTAGCTGCTTTCAGTGCACACTGTCATCTGGTGAAGGGCTATAAAACTGTATGAATCTGGAGAACTGGGCCACATCCCATCAACCCCAGCAGAAACCTTTCAGGGAAACTTTTCAGGACATGTGTTTCCATAATTGTATCAAAATTTGTATTACTTAAAAAAAATTTTTTTTCCATTTAATTAAAAATGTTCTCCATTACTGAAAACACATGGCTTTGACAAAAAAAAAAAAAAAAAAAAATTCAAAGCAGAAAACAATGTTGAAAAGGTTAGCAACACCCCCCACGAGCTTAAAATACTGCTTCTTGCTAATCAAATGAAGGCAAACCCCTAGCCTGAATTTCCAGTCTTCCCCATCACATCTCCTCTGGTCCACTGTGACTGCTCACTCCCCAGAGCTCCCAGGTGACAACCTTGTTGTCACCACCTGCCATACTGGTCATTCCTGCCCCTGTACCTTTGTCCTACGTGGTAAGCCACTGGACTGGGTGTGTTCTCTCCCTCTGCAAATGTAATGCTTAACCACCTCCGGCCATTTCTTCATCTTGCCTGCCCATGTCTCACTGACCAAACCCACAGGTTCTCCTGATGAAATCCTGTAGAACCAGTTTCTTATCTCAGGTTGTGCCCCGATGTTCTTTTCTATCGCTACAGACCTAGTTGGGGTTCCAGTGTACTGGACTGCTAACTCCAAGGTCGGTGGTTCAAACCCACCAGCTCCTTGGAAACCTTACACAGGGTCGCTGGGAGTCCGAACTGACTCGATGACACTTAGCAATGAAAACAACACAGATCTGGGTGGGGTTCCAGTGTACTGGACTGTTAACTCCAAAGTTGGCAGTTCAAACCTACCAGCCACTCCTCGGAAACCCTACACAGAGTTGCTGTGAGTCGGAACTGACTCGATGACAATGAACCTAGGTGCAGACTGGCTCTCAGGGGCTAAATGTGTGTTCACAAAATGGCCGACCATAGAGCTCATCTTGGCTGCTCTTTAGCAGGCAGGAGACTAGCAGGGAAGGCCAGACAGTTTGCTACAACAAGTTGGGCAGGTTTTGATGAACATTCGTCAAGCTTATCTTAAATGAGTAAGCCATAAACCAATGATTACAATGCAAATAGTTATGCCTACAAACCCCATTACACTAGAGTGGAAAGCACATTAATACTTAAACTGCCAGGAAAACCACTTCAGCAACAAGATTCTTTTCAAATGGATACTAATATTGGCAGCAGAGCAAACCCCAAATCCACTGCCACTGTCGGTCAATCCGACTCCTCCAGACCGGAACTGCCCCATGGGGTTTCCAGGCAGTGGCCTGTAGGGACACAGACTGCTTGTGGTGTCTACCTCCTGTCTGAGGGGAGCGACACTGCCTTTCAACTCACAGGTGGGCACACATTGGCAGCTGTTGCTGTGAAGGGCCGTTGAGTGGGTTCTAACTCACTAGCGGTTCTACGCACAACCGAAGGAAGGAAAGCCCGCCAGCCTCGCATTCCTGGCCATGCTGGAGTGCACGGTTACAGCCACTGTTTCAATCCAGCTCACTGGGTGCTCATGGTGGTGGTGGTGTCTTCCTCTTCATCAATGACCCTCCACTTTACCACGCATGACAACCTTGATCCCTCCTGACAACACGTCCAAAGTGCTGGCTCTATTTCTTCCAAGAAGGATTTGTTTGTTTTTCTGGCAGTCTGTGGTACTTTCCATATTCTTCACCAACACCATTGTTCAAATGTATCACTTCTGTCTTCTTTATTCAGGGTCCAGCATTCGCACGTAGATGAGGTGACTGCAAACACTGTGGCTTGGGTGAGGCACAGACTAGCCCTCACTGTGGCAGCTCTGCCCTGGCACACTTTAAAGACTTGTGGAGCAGAATGCCATCTGCTGCTTCCACGGGCAGTGACTGGGGATTCAAGTAAGATGAGATCCTAGACCACGTCAGTATGTAATTTATTGCCATTACGAAGCCCCAAACCCACGGAGTGGATGCCGACTCACAGCGCACTTCAGGACAGAGCCATCCCAAGGGATTTCCCAGGCTGTGCGTCTTGATGGAAGCAGACTAGACTGCCCCTTCTCTCTCCTGTGGGCTGGTGGGCTTCAACCACCGACCTTTTGGTTAGCAGCCAAGCACGTAACCACATCAGCAGGTTGTTAATGCTAAGTGTCTGTGAGTTGGTTTTCAAGGAGCAGCAGACAGGTTTGAACTGCTGACCTTACAGATAGCAGTCCAGTGCTTATTCTATAGTGTCATACCAGGACCCCCAAAATATCTCACATCAAAATATTTATAGCCTAAGCAGATGATTACATTTTATGGAAATCATTTATTTAATCAACAAAAGTACAAAATGTTAAAAGGCTCCTTGACCTGTTTCCAGGTCGGATGCAGGGAGTGTACAAAACTAACAAGGGGCATCTTGAGCCAGAAGCAAGAAGATACCAAAGACTAATAATGGGGTCCCGACAAAAGAACACAGGAGCCACGTTGAAGACACTCCCAGGGGCCTACAATGGGACAATTTGGACATAAACTTGAATTGACAGAGATGCTTAAACACTCACCTACTCACTGGTCATGTGTGAAGTGGCTAGGTCATCAAGTGACTGAGATAAAAGTGGAGAAATAAAAGGGGTGGAATCAAGCATTCGCTTTGTCTTTCCCATACTGCTGGTTCTTCTTTGGCGAAGAAACACACTCAGCACATGGAGAAGGAATGGATGAGATATAGACCTGACCAATCTGCAGGGCACTGGGCGAAAGGCTCAGACCAAGAGCACATAAATCCACTCATCAATCTACTTACTACAGCGGGACAGCCAGTACTGCCCAGCAGGGATCCACAAATGTACACAGGACACAAAGAATTCTTGTTTCCACACCCCTCAAAAAAACCAAGTGCCTGCTAATCTAATCACACTCTACCTCTAACCACCTAGTGACAGAAATGAGGGGCTAGAAGAACATGCTAAGTGAGACCCTTCTCTCTCACTGCCATTCAGTCCATTCTGACTCATAGCGACTCTACAGGACAGAGGGACCAGATGATCAGAAGAATGATGATGCACGTCAACTATGGTGTTGGTGGCTGGTATGGTGAAAGCACCATGGACTGCCACAAGAACAAACTGCCACAATGCCCCTTAAAAGGGAGACTTTGTCTCACGTAGTTTGGACAGGTTGTCAGGAGGAACCAATCCCTAGAAGGACATCGTGCTTGGTGAAGTAGAGGGCCAGTGAAAAAGGCCAGACTCCGACGAGATGGAATGGCACAGTGGGGCAGACCCCGGCAGCGTCTGGCAGGGTCGCTAGGAGTCAGGGCAGCCTTGATGGTACCGAGTAACAACTACAGGACGGATGACAACGGTCCCAGAGGGTTTCAGAGGCTGCAAACCTTCATGGAAGCAGACAGCTTCATCTTCCTCCTGAGGAGCTGAAGGTAGGTTTGAACACTCGCTTTGTGGCCACCAGGGTTTCTAACATGCAACCAGAGAGCTGCAAATCCATATTATGCGATTTTTCTCCCAAATGACCTAGCTGTTTCAACAAGTGGCGGAAAAAAAAAAAAAAAAAAAGAGGGGGGCGGTTGTACTGAGGAGAGGTAGGTAGGATTATAAATTAATAAGAGCTAAACTGTGAGATGGAAAATTAGTTTGTGTGTAAAGTTTCATCCAAACCACAATAAAATGTACATAAAATGAAAGCGCATGTGAAAAGTCCGACCAATGGGATTCAGTGTGTGAGCCTCATCTGGAACCTGAGCGAAACAAATCCACTGTGTAATGACGTTTTTGTAGAAAGGCAGGAAATGGGAAAACAGATGGGGCATCAGATCCTGTTTGCAGAAGGCACTGTTGACTGGCACATACCTGGTGATGGGGACAAAGGCTGAGCCGTGTCACCGTGAGGTGGCAATGAAAGGGAGCAAGGAACAGATGGACCCGAGTCACCCAACATGAACAATCATTGCAGCTTGGTGTCCATTTGTCCCAGCACTGGCTCAAGGGGGAGGGAGGCTCCCTATCAGCTGCATGGCCACATCTCTATCAGCTGCATGGCCACATCTCTCTTCCTCCCCGCTCAGGTGGAGACTTCCATGCTGGCTCTCTTGGAGGAGAGCTGAAAACTTTTTCTTTAAACTGTATCTCAACAATCTTTAGGATGGTGTTTTAAAATGTGCACATTTGCACTGCTGGCTAAAGTAAAGTCTTAAAAAACAAACAAACCCGAGCATTTAGGCAGCGCTAGCTCAGAAGGAAGAGTCCTGGCGATACCGTAGGGTCAGCACTGGACGGCTAACCACAAAGTCAGCAGTTCAAACCCACCAGCTGCTCTCAAAAACCCTGGACAGGGCTGCTATGAGTCAAAACTGACTGCACTGCACAACACAACTCAATGGAAAAAGCAAGATTGGCTTGAAAAAAAGGACCCCCGAGTCACGTGGAAGCGGCTCTAGAACACCAGCGAAGTTGCAGACACCACCCTGCCTGTTCACACATGCAACCCCAGGGTCACACAATGGCTGGGATGCCAAAAGCTCTGCCTAGCAGCCTGAGAAGCAATAGCACGACAGGAGGCCCCAAAGGGAGAGGAGGAGGCAGGACGCGCTGACTCAGGTGTGGTCTCTACAAGCTTGAACCTGGGGGAGTGTGAACCCAGACAGACAACATGGAAGCGAGGGGAGGAGAGGCCCGTCAGCAGCCAGGCCACTCACACACAGGACACCACACACGCACACCAGGGCCGCAAACAGCGCTGGAGCCAACAACAGGAGGCGACCTCGCCAATCAGGGAAGCTCGGTGGGGAGGACGATGAGGAAGAAGAGGAGGAATTGAAAGTTTCGTTTTTAGGGTGTTTTGGTCATGCTTGTGTTTTAGATGGACAGACAGACGCCCAGCTTAAATGTCTGGTTTGTGCAGTCAGGCTCCCGGGAGCTGCAGTAGGTATGACTGGCCCCAGGCAGGCAGAGAGCAGAGGGGGATCAACTTCACAAAGGAAGTGTTCTGGCACTGGGGCCCTCTTCCAGCAGCTCCCATAGCCTTGCAGTGGGTACATGTCCAGGGATGTCTAACACGTGGTGTAACTGAGGTTTTAATAAAGCACAACTTTGGGGTTTTTTAATTGTCCAGAACAGAGACACCTTGCTTCACTCTTTCTTTCAGTCAGGTTCCATCTGTGAACCCATGGTTCACTTAATGTGAAAGCCCACCCTAGGGCATCTGCAGGCCCAGTTTCGCACAAAGGTGGCATCTTCAGGAGGGGCGTCTGTACCAGATCTGTGGACAAAACGACAGAGACAATGCTCCCCCCACAGTCCACCCTGGCTTTTTGCTCAAGGCTCTCGTTCGCTCTTATTTTTGAACTAAGAATATAAACTTTACAACATTGTACGTACCCTTTCAATAACATGAACAAAATATTCTGTTGGGTGCAGATGTATTCAACAGTAGGAGTTCTTGTACCAATTTGTCTTCTGAGAATATTGTTGAAAATTTGAGCCACGTCTTTTTTGCCCTAGTAGGAATACAATCATTAAAACATTTACCTGACTAAACACAAAAATACCCGCTCACCCACCCAAATCAACTCACATAAAGAAAAGCATTGCATATTTCCAGCTCTGAAGAAAAATCTGTACTTGACAACATTCACAGACATGAACGTTTTCTTACTTTCTCTCTTCGTTTATGATCCCCAATACTACGTTTGAATAGCTATTTTTAACTTGAACGATATGCTGACACAGTGAACGCTCACAACGTTCCACATGTAGTTTTAACTCCTTCAAGCTCAGAATCATGCAGACTCAGAAATGAACAACAAAGCCCTGTTTCTCCGTTTACGATAAACCCGGAATCCCACCCACACGGAACTAGAAGCTTCAATAAGGCTGCTCTAAGTCCTTTCATAAGGAGCTCTGGTAGCGTAGTGGTTACGAATCGGGCTGCGAACCTTAAGGTCAGCGGTTCGAAACTACCAGCCCCTCCGCGGGAGAAAGATGAGGCTTTCTACTCCCGTAAGGATTTACACCCTCGGAAACCCTGTACAGGGTCGCTATGGGTCGGAACCGACTCGACGGCACTTAACAACAACAACAAGTCCTTTCATATGTGAGCACGGTAACACTGAAGGAATTCTGATCGAAGCTTAGCCGGGTCTGTTTAGGAACCACTTCATCAGCATTAATAATAAAGGTGCTGAGGACTCTAGGAGGTAAGCTGTTCAGAGCTCAGAACTTAACTACGCCTGGTACTTTATTAAACCAAACAGATGATTCGGTCACTACCGAATGGAAACTTGCATGAGAAATTACCACATGGGGAAGTGGGCCCCAAGAACCATTTCAGAATGGTCAGTTGTTAGAGGCTGAACAACAGTCTGCCTCCAGCCTGCAACACACTGAGACCCCTCAGCTCATGGGCCACATTGGGAGCAGTCAGGATGAGTTCCAGGATCCATTCAGCTTTTTAAGATGCCTTCAAAGTTCCAAATGAATATGGAGTCCTGTGGCCAGACTGGGGAAGTGGGGCGTGGAGGCTGACAAAGGAGGAAGTAGACATCTCAGGCCAGACCCAACTTCAAAATAAGCACCGTTGCTGGAGTCTGACACACTATTAAAAACATATAAAACCAGTTCTATACACTGAAATGTCCCAGTTCTTCTATCTGCTCTATAGTAGGACAGAAGTAAAATTTTCTCTTAATAAAAAATGTTATTATCAATATTATATCCAAGGAAACATACTTCCTGAAAATGTAATTGGGTTACATGTCTGTATTTTCTCCCTCTGAAGGACCTGTACACATACACACATCTAATCATCCAGGCTGGATTTAAAACAAAGCACACCCCTGACCAAGAGGTGAGCAAAGACCCTGTCACATGGTGTGCCCCTAGCCTGCAGCGGGCCCTCATTCACACCGACTTCATGGTCACACTCGCTGTTATTTTAAGGGCACGACCCAGCTGTAAAAGCTTGGGCAGCAATCTGAAATGCCTTCGAGGGCTAGGTAGGAAGTGCTCTGGGTCCAGGCGGCCCTGAGGCAGAAAGTGAGCGGTGTTGTCCTTGGTGGGTAGAGGCTGGGCTCCAGTGAAGGGCCACAGAGGACAGCAGGCCCAGCGTTGCCCGAGTCAAAGAAACGAGGAACTGAGGACTGGAATAAAACCTGCTATTCACATGTTTTAACAATTCCAAAGTCTAAAAGCGCTGCGGAGCAAACACCACACATGTGAGGTAGAGGCTTAGGGTCCCTACTCTGGTGGATTTCCAGCAGGCAAAAGAGACAACAGCAAACTGCAGAAACTTACCAGAGGAGGAAAATAAACATTTCCCACTAAAACGAACGGTATAAAAGTGGAAAGCGGTGGAAAACCTTTGCGGCCCTGAAAATCATGGCAGTCCTGTGGCGTTTGGCTCTCCCAAGTCACTGTGTAACTAACTGGGCGTTCTCTAAGAGAGCTCATCTGTCTCTCACATTCTGACTTTGCACCATCTTTTTTAGATTCCTTACTTCGTAGGAGCCAGGGACCAGCAAATTATAAGCAATCCACAACAGAGCTCTCACGTTATGAACGAGTTCCTAAATATAGCTTAAACAAAAGGGCATCAAGAATACCTTAGAAACTCCATACACAACCCCATCAAACTGGGGGAGGCGCCTTGGAACAGGCCCAAGGTCCCTGTGGGTTCCTGCCCTGGCTCTGTGATGAGGAAGGCAGACAGCATGTGTCCACAGGGTGGGAACCCCTGTACCGAGGCCTCAGCAGGACCCCGACAATGCTTCCCAGGAGAAAACACACGGGAAAAGCCTACGAGTTGGGTTCTGTGTTTGGCCACTAAGAGACCGACTGTTTACCTCAAAGTCAATGAGCTGTAGGTCGGCCACCAACGTGCTGAGGAGGCCGCTGTTGTAGAGTTCCTGCGCCAGCTGGGCCACGGCTTCCGTCTGCGGCTCCTTCTCGTTGGTGCCGTACAGGATTTCTTTCATGGCCACCAGGTTTTTAGAAACTTCTTCTGTAGCCTGGGTTTGGGGAAGGGTAGTTGGGGAGAGAAGGAAAAAAAAACATTCCTTTTAAAAAACACAACTTGCTTACATTTGTCAAATAACCTCTCTCGGTTCTTCAAATACAGAAGTGAGCACAACACCCGAGGGGAGGCAAGTCCCGCTCCCCACTTAGGAGCAGGAAGACCGGCGTGTGCACACCTCGCATGATGACACCGTATACACACAACAGGGGCTTCCACTTCGCCGTGAGCTGGGGGGCACCATGACCTTGGAAGAAGAGCCTGAGTGGGCTCCGAGTGTGAAGACCCCAACACGCCAATACTGCGGAGAGGAATGGCAGGGGCCAGGGCAGAAGGCATATTGGAGGAGAGCTGCTGGCGGAAGGGCGAAGGCGGGAAGCTGGCGAGGCTTCCACTTGAGGCCAAGATGGAAGACCAGGGAGCAGTTACTCTCCACCCACTCCAAAAGAGACTAGCCAAACGATGAAGTAATGGCCCGCAGACGATGGACTTCATGTGGGCAGGACAAGTGATTTCTGAGAGAAGGGAACACAACGTGAGGTGAACCTCACAGAGGCCGTGGGATTGCACTCACAGCGCAGAGCCACTGGTCCTCTCGAGTTGAGGAGCTAAGACTGGGAAGGGGCAGTAAGGAGGCCAGAGTCTGCTTTCTTTCTTTTCTAATGCTTACAGACCCTCCTCCTAATAAGCCCGTTGTGCCACCTGATTCAGAACCCAAGTGACAGAGTTGGACTTGACTTTTTCCAGTCTCCTGTCACCATCCTATTCTCTGACAGCAGTGTAGCACCCCATATTTCAATGTATAGCTCTCTGAATAGGACTTTTCTAGGCCAAGAGATTAAAAAATGTAGCAGCAGTGTTCTCTCCTAAACTAATCACATATGTTGCTTTTCCGATTCCATTTTATTAAGCTCTATTCTGAAGCGGACTCTCCTTGACAGAGAACGTGCCACCCAGCAGGCAGTCACTACTGTTTTCTGAGTGTGTCATCTGCTGATTTTATACCCGGGGTCTCCACTCCCTGTAAGGAACACTGGTAGCATGGTGGGTCACACGCTGGGCTGCTAACTGCAGTGTCAGCAGTTCAAATCTACCAGCGGCTCCGCAGGAAAAAGATGATGGTGGTTTTGCTCTATCAAGATTTTACAGGGTTGCGATGAGTCAGCACAGACTCCACAGCACGTCACCTTTACCACGACCTCTCCCTCTGCTCAACCAATGCTTTGAAGTTTCTTAGCAACTTCCACATACCTCAGTGGATGCTCTTCTTTGCAATTATTTTATGATTTTGAATTTGAATTCAAACCAGACTCTATGCTTTCTTCTGGTAACAAGGGGTGAGGGAGAATGAAGGGTGGAGAGACTGGGGTCAATCAGAAGATGATCTGTTGTACTTCTGGGCTGGATGGCTACTTGTAATGTCTCCTCCTTCCCCTTCGACACCGATGGAGTTTCCTGCTAACTGTATACCCGCTTATCCATAATAATCCCCCGACTACTGTGTGACCCTCCTGCCGTCTCAGTAACTCACCCTGTGTGCTACCAAGGTTTGAGAGCTGGTTCACCCCGGTTTGATCCCACACTGAAAATTTGCCTTTCCATCCCAGATGTACTGAACCAGAATCTACATTTTAACCAGATCCCAGGGAATCCTATGTGCACACCAGAATGTTAAGTTGTCATTAATGCTGCTGAGTCCGTTCCAACTCATAGTGACCTGGCACAGGGTCTCCACGGCTGGAAACCTTAGGAGAAAGCATCCTTTTTCTCTCATGGAGCAGCTGGTAGGTTTGAACTGCTGACCTTGTGGTTGCAGTCCAGTGCTTACCCTACAGAGCTCCTAAGACTCTTAAGATGGATGGTTGGTGGTGGTGTGACACCAAGTTGGTTCCGACTCACAGTGACCCGTACAGGGGTTCCAATGCTGCAGCTTTAAATCTCTATGGGGGCAGAAAGCCTCATTCATCTTTCTCCCACTGAGTGGCTGATAGATTTGAACTGCTGACCTTGTGGTTAGTAGCCAGCTCGTAATCCACCATGCTAGCTGGGCTCTGTACGCTGTTGTTAAGTACCCTCAAGTTGGTTCTGACTCACAGAGATCCTGTGTATTGTTTCTGAGGAGAGGCTGGTGAGTTTGAATTGCTGACCTTGCTGTCAGTGTTTATCCTAGAGCGCCACATCAGGGCTCCTAATACATCAAGTGACAATGTAGACTCTCAGTCAGTGGGTCTCAGGTAGAAGGGCCAATTCTAAGTAGGGGTTGAACCAGAATGAGCTCATTCTCATCTCCTCATATAGTCAATTTCCCTCTCAGCAGACTTTTCTCCTGTCAGTCTTCAGCATGGTCAAGATTCCCATGAACAAATCAAATAAAGGTCGTAACTCCACAAACAGCTCCCAGCTACTCCCCACTCCTCAGGCTGCCCTCAGTCTTGTCCTCAGCCTTACACTGATTTCTACCCTAGTATTGGGTAGCATAGTGGTCACACTCTGGTAGCGTAGTGGTTACAAATCAGGTTGCGACCCGCAAGGTCAGCAGTTTGAAACTACCAGCTGCTCCGCAGGAGAAAGATGAGGCTTTCTGCTCCCGTAAAGATTTACAGCCTCGGAAACCCTGTTCAGGGTCACTAGGGGTCGGAACTGACTCCAAGGCACTTAACAAAAATTGTACTGGCTTGGGGCTCGTCTCCAACACCCTACGTGTCACTAAACACACTTCCCAGTCTGCGCTGTACACGTGCTCTCAGCAGCATTTGATGGTACCCACCACACGCTCCTCTCAAAATCCCTTTCCTCGTCCTCGGCAGCTCACTACATCTTAATTCCCCCTCCTTTCTCTACTAGAAGTAGTCCTGGTTGCACGGTGGTTAAAGCACTCATCTGTCAACCAAAGGCCAATGGTTCGACCCAGCCTCTCTGAGGGAAATAGGTGGCGCAGTCACCTTGGAGACCTGTGGGCAGTCTGTTCTGCCCGACAGACAGGCCAGCCCTACTGAGGCAGGATGGACTCGACGACAGAGGGCCCGGGTCTGGTCACCCCTCTGGTTGCTCCTCTCTCCCCCTTTTGGCTCATCCTCCTCAAGGATACAATTTACATTTCGGGGCTTTCTCCTATTTTAATGGCTAAGTGGTCTCACTCACTAAACCAAAGGAGAAGGGGAAAGTGTTAGAACTAGGGCTCCAAGCACCTATTACTAAACAGGAGCAAACATCTCTCTAAGAAGGGGCAGATCTGTGAACAGTTCGGTGTAGTTCAGAGCAAGCATCCGACTAATGAATGACAACAAACAAGCTAGGAGAGACACTGGCTAGTTCCCCAGGCTGGTCAATTTACTTCACGAGTGGATGCCCCAGGTGTGGTCCCCACATGCAAGGACTGCTCCAAGTGTAGACGCCTTGCCTCCCTGCACTGCTGAGGCTGATGGCAGCCACCTCCTGCGTTCAGTGTTCACCTGAGGAACAAGTGGTCAGCACTCACGGCAGAACCGAACACAGCGTGTCTACACTGCATGTGGCTTTCCCAGACAAGTTTGCTGTGATTTGCCTGGTGCTGAATTGACCATCTATCTCCCAGTGACCTTACATTAATTTCAAGTCAGAATTGAATGATTTTACAATCCGTATTTTACATTTGTTTTTTTTTTTTAAAGATGAGCAAGGAAAAAAGGCCAAAAACAAAGAGGATGAGATAAATGAAATTGTCAAAACGTTCACCGTGTTGACACTAATTGGTGTATCTTCTCATTTCCGCTTCTACCCTTTTACTCCTTTCCACAAGAAGTCCCCACTCCTACAAATCTAATTTCTAGCGAGGAACTAAATGATTCGTATGTAGGTGGGTGTTGTAAGCACACTTCAAAAACAAGTGCCACAAACCATGCTAAGCACACACCTAAAGAGTGGAGGGGTACCTGGGCAGGCAGGCAGGCGCTCAACTACTCAGAGGCAGATCATGGCACTGGTGGGTAATAGACAGACTGTGTTCTGCTTTCCGTGACTGGTAATGGTCTATGTGGAAAAATCACCAGCATGAACTACAAAATGAAAATCATCAACTTTTTTATGAATAGTTCTGATCAATGAGATTAGGTCCCTATTTCAACGATGGCCTTCAGTTCTTTGTATAGCTCACGTGATTTCTGTTTCCCATTACAAGTCGAGAAAATGAACAGCTGCATGTGTCACGCACGGAACCAGCACTCTTGGCTGATCTTGTTTAGCCCTGACTTGACGTCTCCCTCAGCAGTGTTCACAGTAAGCACCGTGCTTGGACCCATCCCGGCTCCACCTGCACTATGTCAGCATGCTCGCAGTCTCCCTGACCACATCCTCCTATCTGCTGTGTTTCACTGCAGCTCAAGGTCTCCCGTTCCTGGAAACCATCTAAGACGACCTTTACTGATAACTTCAGCTTCCAGAGTTCCGAGCACTGTTGAAAGAGTGCTGATATCTGTGCACACGTGGCTCACCAACAGTGCAGGCTGGTGGACTGCCTTCACCCCGATCAGAGAAGACAGTCCTCCAAGCAGGGCTGATTTCCACCTGCACCTTCCAGAAGCAAATACTCCTGGACGTCTCCACTCTCCTCAGGGTACTTTCATCTCTTTCTCTACTCTGTACCTGAGCCTCTAGCTTCACTCCTACGGTGAGACAAGACTTTCTGATGAAAACTACTGTATTCCATCCCAACGCCTCAACACTCCCGCCACATTCTCTCCCAATAACAGTGCAGACTGGAGAACTGCTGCGGCCTGAGTGAGTTGTTTTTTTCGGTCCTGAATTGTACCGTTCACTTCCCTAAAAACAACGCCCATAAGTGTATCGGTAAGAGTTCTGTGTGGCCACTGCACTGGCTTATGGCACCAGATGTGAAGCAGAGTGCTATGGGAGGGACGGTGGGTGTCAGAAGAGGGTCAAGAAGGCAAGGCTGTAGGGTGGAGGCATATGTGACCTCCTGGTTTTTATTGGAATGATTCTATTTCTCTCTTGTGAGGA